TCTTTCCAAGCACCCCTAAAAGAAGCTAGTTTTTCTGGCCTCAGAGAATCAGATTCTGCTTCCTTAAGAAAATTATTGTCGATAGTGTTGTTTCTTCTAGTTAAGTCAGTATCAGCCCACTCATTGTTGTCGTCTCTGTCTCTCTCTCTCTGTCTCTCTCCATATGTTTTGGTCCTGTCATTCGAGTTGTATTGCTTTCTTATGCATAAATGTTTAATTGATGATATGATTAGTGCATGCGGTACAGCAGTTGCTGATGATCATTTCTTTGATCTTATTCTCCAGAATCACAGAGAATTTCAAGGTTTGAAGGAAGGGTTTCTGATCAATGTCGAACGCAAAACAAATGGTGGGCACTGAAGAAGAAAGCAGGGAGTTTTTTAATGTTGTGAGTTGTAAGAAATGGGTACGTGCTAGTAATGTTGGAGATCACTCCACTACTAGTTTTGGGGTTAGTTCACATACTACCCCACCAGAAAAGGTTAGGATACTATGTGAGACTAATCCTAGAGTTGAGGGCCTGAGCTACCACGGATTGCCTTCCAAGCAGTACAGGCTTGATGTTGGTGGTTCCGGTTCCTTTGGAACTGTACCATTTAAACCCCAGGATGCAGATTATGCTATTCCTCCCCTCATTGATGAGGTGGAGGCTTTGATCTTGGCCAGGGTGCCTAGATCAAAGTACCATAACTTTTGTTCTGTAAACAAGCGCATCTTGGCGCTTTTGAAGAGTGGTGAGCTCTACAAGATTAGGACTGAACTTGGGATTAAAGAGCCTTCAGTTTTTGTGTCACATTATGGGGAGGATACATGGTGGGAATTTGATAGGCAATTCAGGTCTTGCAGGAAGCTCCCAATCTTACCGTCTGATACATGCTTCACAACGGGCGATAGGGAGTCTCTTTGTATAGGGACCCATCTGATTGTGTCTGGGAAAGAGATGGAGGGTGTTGTTGTTTGGAGGTATGACATGGAAGCAAACCAGTGGTCCAAGGGTCCTTGTATGATCAATCCAAGATGTATGTTTGCCTCTGCCTCATGTGGTTCCTATGGGTATGTAGCCGGTGGAGTTGGAATTGCAAGTGGATGGAAAGCCATGAATTCTGCTGAGAGATACAATCCAAACACTAAATCTTGGGAACCCCTTCCAGATATGAAGAGAAAGCGGAGGAATTGCTCTGGCTGTTACTTGGACAACAAGTTTTATGTGATTGGAGGGAAGGCTGGGATGGAAATGATCTTAAGTGTGCTGAAGCCTTGGATGTGGAGAAGAACACATGGGATCTCATCCCAGACATGCTGGAAGCTGATTGGGCAAATCTAAATAACCCATCACCACCTCTTATTGCAGTACTGGCCAACCAGCTCTATTCTCTTGAAACTTCCACAAATGAGCTCAAGGTGTATTTGAAGAAAAGCAAGTCATGGAAGAAGTTGGGAGTTGTCCCAGTGAGAGCTGATGCTACTTCTGGATGGGGCATAGCGTTTAAGTCCCTGGGAGATGAGTTGCTTGTCATCCAATCTTCATCAAATGAGTTGGCCGGCCCTGCCTGCATATTCACTTGCTCACCTGATCCAAATGCTGAGGAATTGCAATGGCAAGCTCTTGAACATGGCCACACCAGCCCTACCCGCTTCATTGTTAATTGCTCTGTGATGGCTGCTTGAACAAGCGTTGAAGCTTATATTTTCCTTAAGTAGAATCTATCTTCCCGTCTGGTATGGTGCATTTAAATAAGGCTTTGCCATGATGACCAGAAGCTAGTGAGTGTGTCTGAGGTTCATCTTATTTTCCAGTGTCTATTGTATTACTATTATCATTAGGTGTGTGCCTCCCAAGTCTGAACCTTGTGATATATAATATAACACTTGGGGTAATCTAATGGAGCTTTCTGATTTTACCTTTTCTTGTATCTCCAGCACAATAACATGGTTAACCTTTATATTATCCATCATATGAGCAATGATCAACTAATACAAGCCTAGTATTTGACGCTTAACAATTAACATGGGTTCAAAGATTGACAAAACCGACAGTTTCTATGACCTACCAAAGAAGATTACTAGGAACGCTAGGGTTTTTTAATTGACATGGCGACATTCATTAATTGACTTGGCATAACACATCAATTGCCACATAAGGTGGTCAGCTTGTGTGTCTAAATAGCATTACTCTGAAAAAAAATGGAATCAGAATGTCATTAATTAGTGTTAATAGCAAAGTTGAACTGCTTTTCATAAAGAAAATAAATTCCAAGCATCATGAAAGCAAAGCAATTACTTGTTTACCGCAAAAGTACCACTGAGCTATTAACAAAGCTGATGATGGCATGGTTATGTATGAGTATCCATCACATAAAGAGCATTTAGTGTTAACTTTGCAAGCACAGAAGCATTGGTGGGTGGGGAGTTGTGGTGATATAAAAAGCATGTTGACTTGACTGAAAAAAGCATTTCTTTTTGGGGGAAAGAAAGAAAAAGGAATAATATAGGAACCAGAAGAAGCTCTCAAGACTAAGATAGAATAGAACATCTTTGTTGTCATCCTCACGAGTCACATGTGTCTAGTCTGACCTTCCCAAGAGAGAGAGAGAGAGAGAGAGAGAGAGAGAGGAGAGTTGCCTAGTCTGACCTTCTCAAGAAAACCAAACTCTCATTAATTAATTAGCTTCAATTTTCGGAATCACTACAAATTCCCAACAGAAAATTATTCTACTCAGAAAAAGAAAGGCTTAAAGTCTCACCCAGACAATGAAAAGCAAAATTGTTGAACAAATATTCAGTGACAGAATTCTCAACTACAAATAACAGATATCTGAAAACTGAGACATTCTAAGAAAAGATAGAGTGGATGATCTAGGATATGAATGACCATAAACTCTTTAAACCAAACAACTCAAGAAGAAGCACCGCTGTGTAGTGCTTGGCCTTTCCTTGATTTCCTGGGAGCCAATTGAGTTTCAGGCTGCAAAATAGGCGCAATCAGCAGAAATTCAAATTTGATAAACAAACCAGTAACATCATCCACCACATTAAATTAATTCAGGAAATTCCATCGAACTCATTTTTTAGGAAAGCATGACAAATGGTGATTCTTTTCAATCTGAAAAACAAGATGACATCAGTCAATCAGCTTTTGATTAGTTTATTCAGATTGCAGCCATCTGCTGCATCTCTTTTGTTGAGCAGATGTAGCAAAAACAAGACTGGAAATGGGGCTAAACTATAGGACTCTTGCGACCAGAGGGCTTTGTTGCTAGGACACATACATCCTAAGCTTTGATATATTTCAAATGTGAAACTTACCATCTGGAAATGCTTCGCCATTTATCCTAGATACTAAAATGAGCATTCTAATGTTTTCAACTAATGGTCTACTTTTCTTTTCAGAGTTATGCTGTGCCACCAACTTTGGAGTTCAAATTCTGTATATTAAGATGAAGGGATCCTATTCACATTGAACTATTCTCATAATAATAATCAATGAAGCTGCCTGCACAATTCACATATCTAAGTAATGCCACACATGACACATATGTTAGATGTACAGGCTGGATTGCACTAATCTCAAATTTTGGTTTTCCTTTATAACTGACCCTTTAGTAATCAGACAATGAAGCTGTAGATTACCTCTTTCTTCACTGGCTCTTCTTTCTCTGACAAAACCAACTCGATATGGCAGGGAGATGACATATAAGCTGCAAAAGATAGATTTAAATAATGTCCAGACGTACATTATTAAAGAACAGTCACACAGAGAAAGTAACCACTCAAATCAGAAAAAGAAAAAGAAAAAGAAAAGCAAGCGCACGATTTATTCTTCCATGAGCACGATATGTGCGGCGTCTCTGTTTCTGAGCCTGGTTTACCTGGATGTGAGAGACATAAAGTGAATCCACATCCAGCCCTTTCACCTACATAAAAGGAAAACAGATAAGTTTGTGCTCGCAGCTAAAATATAAAAGAACGATCAAAGATAAGAAAACCAGGGCAGCAAAGGAGAATCATTTACTTCAGCATTGCTCTCAGCATTCTTGAGCAAATCAAGAATGAAATTAGCAGACTTAACCGGCCAGCGTCCTTGACCATTCGACTGGCGGTTCTTCGCCTGAGCAGTACGACCAACACCACGGCAAAAGCGGCGGAAGGGAATGGCTTGCTTGTGGGCCAAAACATCTTCCAAGTAACTTTTGGCCTTTCCCAACTGCATTTTCCGGATGGCATGGGCTGTCTCTCTTGTGTTCTAAAACAGATTAACAAATCCAAATTATAACAATCAAGTCAGTCTAAGCATACCACAAGCTAAATTCATTGCTACTCTTAAGCAAAAAAAATTGTATCTTAATGTCAACAAAGAAAAAAAAAGATTCATCAGACTCTTCAACCTTAAAATGCAAAAAACCCACATGTGGAAATTTACGGTTGAAATTAGTTCTCAATCAGAAAAACTAAAACTTGCACTTAATCCACAGATCATACCTTGAAATGAACTCTTAGATCCGAGCCCCTGGCCTTGCAGGCTGTAGTAAAATGTACAAAATAGTTATAAATAAATAAAATTAATACGAATGAAACTTACAACCAAAATTTAGAATATACGATTGGGTAAATTAAAACAAAAAAATGCTTACACTTGGTTGGATTATCAGGCTCCCTCGAGTACTTTACCTACATCATTCAAGTTAAAAAACTGATCAAGATTAATTAATAAATTCGTAATTTTTCAATACAAAAACTTGTATTTGCGTGTGCGAGAGATCTACCATTGCTGTTGATCGGCGGCAGAAGGAGGAGCAGTCTGCGAGTTGGGGGAGGTCGGGGGCGAATTGGAGCGAAACTCAAATACCCTCTAGGGTTTAATGCTTTAACGCGAAAACCAGTTGAAAGGCGTGGGCTGGGCTTTTGGGTTTTGAGGAAGGCCCGTCAATGCAATTGGACACGTGTCGTTCAACCTTTCGCTCAACTTGAAAAAAAACAAAAAGAAAAAAAACCAATTGTTAATATAGGACAAGGAAAATAGGAGAAGAAAAAATAGAGCGAAATCAAACATAGCATAGCGCAAGTGTCGCAGCTCACTCGTCTGGTGACATCGTGTGTCAGGTGGAGGAAAGCAAACCAGCTTTGCTATACTCTGGAAAGCTCTGGCCTTCTTCTACTACTCTGTAAGAATTGCTTAAATCCCTTCATTTTCTTCTCTCTCTCTTTATTTCCTCATAAATTTCTTGGTATTCTCTGCTACCAATTATACTGAAATTGTTTTCCTTGTTATCTGTTTATACAAGAAGATGTATCTCTGATTCAATATTTTTGTTGAAACCCTCCTGTAGAATTATGTTTTTTGGTTCTTCATGTCAACGTATGGTCTGATTGCCATTTCTTGAATTAGGGTTTTGTTCTCCTACAAATTTGGGCATTTCATGGATTTGTCACCTCTGCCTTCTGCTCTGTTACTTGGAAATGACTCTTAGAGGTTTGAATTTGAGCGGGTTTCAGTTTTATCTATGTTCTTTTGCTGGGTTTTAAGATCTTGGTGGAAATGGCTTTAAGTTATATTTGTATAACGTATATGTACTGTCTTCTTTGTGGGTTTTTGATGTTATGACGGCTTTTTGAGGTTATGTGTATGGGAAGTTAGAATTTTGCTGGCTTTAGATCTTTTTTCTGTTTAGAGTCAGCTATGTCTATGAACAATAATAATCCACCTAAGAATCTCGGAGCCTCTTCATCGCCCTTTGGCAATGCCGGGATGGTAGCCCAATCTATGCCAACAAACCCTACATTTCCACAATCACAAGCTCAAGCACAAATCGGAGCTGGTTTCCAAGCTCAATTCCAGCTGTCCCAAGCTCAGGCTATTGCCCATGCTCAGTCAAAAGCTCAAGCACATGCCCAAGCTCAAGCTCAACAGGCTCACGCCCAATTCCAAGCTCAGTTACACGCTCAGGCGCTATCCCTTAACCAGAACCAAGCAGCTGGCATTGGGAATTTAGGGTCTTCACCCTCCTTTTCCACACCTGGAAATGCAAGTCTCAAGCGTTTCCCTCAAAAACCTCCAGTGCGCCCTCCTAGTGTTTCTCCTACAAACATGATGTCACCTATGAGAACCATGGAACTCACACCTGCTGCTCGTAAAAAGAAGCAGAAACTTCCTGATAAACAGCTACAAGACAAAGTAGCCACCATTCTGCCTGAATCTGCTTTGTACACCCAGCTGCTCGAGTTTGAGGCTCGTGTTGATGCTGCTCTTGCGAGAAAGAAAGTTGACATCCAAGAGGCCCTTAAAAGCCCTCCTTGCATTCAGAAAACGCTGCGCATTTATGTTTTTAATACTTTTGCTAATCAGATTCGCACAATTCCAAAAAAGCCAAATGCTGAGCCCCCTACTTGGACTCTGAAGATAGTTGGGAGGATCTTGGAGGATGGTGTTGATCCTGATCAGCCTGGAGTGGTCCAGAAATCAAATCCCTTCTATCCGAAGTTCTCATCTTTCTTCAAGAGAGTAACCATTTCTTTGGACCAGAGACTATATCCTGAGAATCATATCATTATGTGGGAAAATGCTAGATCGCCTGCACCACATGAGGGATTTGAGGTGAAGAGAAAAGGGGACAAAGAATTTACTGTGAATATACGCTTGGAAATGAATTATGCACCAGAGAAGTTTAAGCTTTCGCAACCCTTGATGGAAGTTCTTGGTATTGAGGTCGAAACCCGTCCTAGAATAATAGCTTCAATCTGGCACTATGTGAAGGCTAGGAAATTGCAGAACCAAAATGACCCCTCTTTCTTTAACTGTGATCCACCTCTTCAGAAAGTATTCGGGGAAGAAAAGATGAAATTCACCATGGTGTCGCAGAAGATATCTCAGCATTTGTTCCCCCCGCAACCTATACATTTGGAACATAAGATAAAGCTTTCAGGGAATAGTCCGGCTGGAACTGCATGTTATGATGTGTTGGTTGACGTGCCCTTTCCAATTCAAAGGGAATTGTCTGCTCTTTTGGCCAACTCAGAGAAGAACAAAGAGATTGATACCTGTGATGAAGCAATATGTGCAGCTATAAGAAAAATCCATGAGCATCGTCGCAGGCGAGCTTTTTTCCTTGGGTTTAGCCAATCACCTGTAGAATTTATCAATGCATTGATAGAATCTCAAAACAAAGATTTAAAGCTTGTGGCTGGAGTAGCGAGCCGCAGTGCTGAGAAAGAGCGACGATCAGATTTCTTCCACCAACCATGGTAAGCTTATCACTTTTGTCATAATTTATTGTTTGCACTTTATCTGCATTTCAAAGGTTTATCGTTGCTGTATCTAGGTACACACATTCATACAGACAAATATTTGCTGGTCATGATTGACTTGATGGAAACAAAGCTTTGGATTCACTATTTAGATAATTATGCTAAATTGTTCCTTCCAATATAACCCCTTGCTGGGTATTATTGTGATGTTGGATGTTCCTTTCATTTATTTGGTTAGATGATGCATTAATTGATTCGCCCCCCCTAGATCATTGCCGGTAATCATTAAGGTTGTTGCATCACTAACGTGTGTTCACGGTCAAAGATCACAGATATCTGGTTTACTATATTTCATTTGGTTAACATACTCATAGAACTTTAACATGTGGTTAACAAAATTGAACTACTTATTGAATCTTGTTTTGGTGATTCTTACAGGGTTGAAGACGCTGTTATTCGCTATTTGAACCGTAAGCCAGTTGCAGGAAGTGATGCTCCTGGAAGCATGTGAAAGGAGACTGTTGAGCTCTTGATGGGGGTGCCAACCTTTGTATTCTTTAGCAGACGTAGGAGGATATACGATTGCCTTTTCTATTGATTGTAGGATGGGGAGGATGCTGGTCGCGCATTGAACTTAGGCAAAATATATATAGCTTGTTTTGTTTAACCTTTAAATTTTCCATGTACTTGCTCTGCTGATTATGGTTAATGTACAAACATGTTAGACACAGTTTTATTTATCTATGCTCCATTTTAACTTACAAATTATGTTTGCTGCTTGAGAATCCTCCTTTCTTTTGTTTCGTTTTCTGTTTAATGTCTGAAAGTGAAATCAATTTAACAATGGGATTCTTAAAAGCTTTAAATTCTGCTTGATATTCTATTTTCCCTAGCCTTGTTAACAGACTTAAAGCAAAACGCAAAGCAGCACACAAGTCTAATAAAGCAAAATTGTGTCCTGAACTGCAAATATTTTTTCGGATACATACGACAACAAAACTTGCGAATAGGAAGAATATATGAAGTCGCTTCTACCCCACTAGATGACAGAACAAACAAGCGCATATTTGACTTCTCAGGTTTGATTTCCGTTCACAAATTTGCAACATCTTGCAAGTTTCATCCAAAAAAAAAAAAAAAAGGCGCGAATGCAAAAGGGAATATGGCGGGAAAGGAGGAAGCGAAGCGTGGTGGAGGGTGGAGCGAAGAGGTATGCTGGAGAAAGCAAGTCGACGATAACCTAAGCAGGCTCCATTCTCTTCTCTTCGGAGCCGAACTCGCCGTCGAGAGGCACGACTTCTCCTCAGCTCAGGTCCTCGGGCTTCGTCTCCTCGGCTTCCTCGACTCCCAGTCTCACTCTCAACTCGACCATGCCTTCGTCCGCCCCATTCGCCGCGAAACCGTCTCCAAGCTCGACGCCGCTCGCCGAGCTCTCATTCCTCATTCTGATCGGTGCGCCTCTCTCTCACAGAGCTTGATTTTTCCTCTGAACCTAAACTTCGAGAACCCTAGCTTTTAGCATTTGTGTGTGTTTGGAATTCTTTTATTTTTGTTTTAGCTTGATTGAGAAGCTTGGAAATGTGGTTGAGGTTGAACATTATGTGCATTTCTTGAAGAATTTTGGAGAAATAGAATTAACTTAAATTTGAATTGTGACTCAAACGATCTTGCAATTATTTCTAGACTCTTCCTCAAGTTAAGTTACCAGATATGAATTAGGTTTTAAATTGAATGAATTCAAAGTTGGAAAGTGATCTGCTCATATGGCTCGACGCATTCTCATATTGAATTTCCAAGTGTTCGGAGCGTAGATTAGTAGCTGTAATTATTTCACAACTAGGTTCAGATTTCTCCTTCAGATGCTAATACTTTGAGTACCATGTGCCAGCAAAGCCTTTGAGCAAGCAAAGAAAGCTCCGGGGTATGTTTTTGGCACCAACGGAGATATTGACATTGAGAAGGTTAAGCAGTCAAAGTACTTTCAGGCTCTTCTTCATCAGTCTAATAATGGAAGGGTTGTAAATGATTTGGTATTACTTGCCTCTGATCTTGCTTGTTGAAAATATTTTCCGTATTTTATTTTTGTGATTTTATTAGGATTAGGCGTGATAACCAAAATTTCTGTCTGTCCTAGGGTGATCAACTGGAGAGTCAGGACAAGTTGACTTGCAAGTTATCAAAACCTCTGGCACAAAGAAAGTTGACATCGTTGTACAAAAACAACTTCATGATGGAAAGTAATGGCAAATCCAAGAGTTCTTGGGGCTCTAGAAGTAACAGCTCTGATGATTGCACTATTGTAGAAAAGCTTCACTCTTATCACAACCGTAATGGCGGTCACAGTGCCTTATCTTTTCAAAAAGTTGAAGAGGAAGAAAAAGCTTATGGGAACACCTTGAGGGCTAAACGTGCACACAAGGAGTTTACTAGCCCCATTATTGATAATGCAAAGTCCCCATCAAGCAATGAAGATGTTAACGCTGATGGTTCTAGCCATAGCTTTGTTACTGCCAAAGCCAAATTGGTATCTATCGTATTTCTGACAACCATTCCTCTTATTAATGTTTATTTCCATAAGGGTTTGGAACTTCTAGTAAATCATTTTTTACCTAACCTGATCTTACTGGAGCTCAAATTTCCATTCTTTTTTAATTTTTATTCCTTATTTACACTTTGTCCACATGTGGCAATTTTGATCAGTTTGTTTCTTCTTTGGCTAGGAAATGGATGCAAGACAAAGAAGAGGGTTAGCGGGTTCACCAAATGCTTGTGTCTCCCCTCAAAGTGATAACAATGCTACTAATAAGGGATATAGTACGAGATCATATGGCTATTCACGCCGCGGTGCCCGTGGTAATTTTGTTCCACCTATTAAATCTAATGAGGGCAATGTTGGGAATATGACTTCACGAGTAGCTGGAAAGTCAGATGATACATTAGGTGACTCAACTAAGAAATGGTGAGTGGTGTAACTTTGACACTGATTGTGTGAAATATGTATGCTTGTCCTAAATACTTTAATGTTTCAATTTCAGTTTGGAAATGCTCTGTGGTCCTGATGGAGAGCTTCCAGAAAAATTGAGGAACTTGGAACCTCGTCTTCTTGAACATGTTAGTAATGAGATCATGGACAAGGATCCAAATGTTCGATGGAATGATATTGGTAATATGTGATTCTTTAATCTTTCTACATTTACAATTTTTGCACAAATATCTGAAGCCATTCTGATTTTCACTGTTGCGTGGCAATGTTTTAGCTGGTTTGGAGCACGCTAAAAAATGTGTGACCGAGATGGTCATATGGCCGCTATTACGTCCTGACATTTTTAAAGGTTGTCGTTCTCCTGGAAAAGGTCTTCTTCTCTTTGGTCCACCAGTAAGTGTTGAATCCTTTAAAGTAGGGGGAGTAAAAGCGTTTCCGATCAATGAACAATCATAACCCTTGGCCTGTTTTAGGGAACAGGAAAAACAATGATTGGGAAAGCCATAGCTGGAGAGGCAAAGGCAACCTTTTTCTACATATCTGCCAGTTCATTAACAAGCAAATGGGTATGCATTTTTTCTGTTTGTTTTGGTTCTGTGATGGTTCACTGGCATATGTTCTCTGATTTCTTTTTGGTTTTCCCTGGGCTTTCGAAAAATATCGACTGATATGAAAAGATATATGGCACAAGATAAGTTCAGTATTCTCCTAATTATATATGCTTGAAACATATTTATATTTGAAAATTTTAACTGGTGACTGTAGATTGGTGAGGGTGAAAAGCTAGTGCGGGCCCTTTTTGGAGTTGCGAGTTGTCGTCAGCCAGCTGTAATTTTTGTTGATGAAATTGATTCACTTCTCTCACAGGTAAGGTTTGCTCTAGCTGTTAAATATAATCTTGGAAATGGTATAGCTGTCTCTATGTATGCCGTACACTTCTCTCATGGTATTATACTTTGTTTTACCGAATGTATTCAGATGATACTAATTCTGTATGGTTGCAGCGTAAGTCAGAAGGTGAGCATGAATCAAGTAGACGACTTAAAACACAGTTCCTCATTGAAATGGAAGGCTTTGACAGTGGCAGTGAGCAAATTCTTCTTATAGGTGATTGTTGAATCCTCTGAATCTCAGTTATCTCTAATTAGAATGCTGTTAATGAATTTTATCATATCTAATTTAGACTTTATCCTTGATGTCACCGTTTTAACGAGTTCACTGTTTCTTCTACAAAATGGATACATCTATCTCCTAGGAGCAACGAATCGACCCCAAGAACTGGATGAAGCAGCACGGAGGCGACTTACCAAGAGGCTTTATATTCCCTTGCCTTCATCAGGTACCAACTTACAGTATGTTTGATTAGACTAACATTCTTAATACTGAATTTATGGCTAACCAGCTATTACCGTATTGAAGAAGCAAGAGCCTGGATCGTGCAGAATATCTTAGACAAGGATGGACTATTCAAACTTTCAAGGGAGGATATTGATAGCATATGCAATTTAACTGAAGGTAGATTATCTCCATGCAGTTGAAAAGACCCAATCCCATCGTCTTCTCTATTGTAAATTGACTGTCTGAAGCTCTTGTTGTTTCGTTTGCCAGGGTACTCAGGATCAGACATGAAAAACTTAGTGAAGGATGCCTCTATGGGTCCACTAAGAGAGGCTCTGAAACAAGGCATAGAAATAACAAAGCTGAAAAAGGAGGATATGCGGGCAGTCACTGTTCAGGTTAAAATTTCACTCTCCACAGCTCACCATGTTTGTTGTTTCCTTAGGTTTATTTTTCTTTGCATAATAATTAAATATGTTTGTTTTGTTTTTTTAGGACTTCGAGAGTGCATTGCAAGAGGTAAGGCCCTCTGTTTCGTTGAATGAGCTTGGTACGTATGAGGAATGGAACAAGCAATTTGGAAGCTTGTCATTGTAGGAATCTGTCTGTATATTTCTGAAACAAGACAGAACAGGAAAAACAAAAGCACCAGTCAATTATTGTTTCCAACTTACAACAATTGAAAGCTTCCCGGACATACCCTAGCATAGCAACAATAATAGGCAAATAGCAGTTGCTTTAAATAGAAACTTGTACCTACCAATTGCATTAGATTCTCACTTGTTCTGAAGAAAGACATATTATTTTGTATATAAATGAAACGTGTAAGGTGATTTCTGATTTCTGATTGCTTTATGCTGACCAGACTAGAAGGAGGAGTATTTTTAAACAGGGCTCGTTTGTTTTCTTCCTTTAAGACAAAGACCTTGACATCAATGATTCAATGGCATGTGAACTTATCTTCCCAAACGCGCATGTGGGGTATTCTAATTAACCTGGTTTTTTTTAAAAAGAAACTTTAACTGCTGACTGGGTTAAGTCTACTTGCACGAGTTATGTTGTCCACTTCACTTGAGTAGCACATGATTTGGGATTATTTTTGACATCTAAGATTAAAAATGATGTTGACGATCATCATGATTTGCGTACTCAATCAGATAGGTGCAGAGTTTACTATATGCTTTATGTACATAATCATATCTTTGTGTTACATTAAGAATGGCGCATAATGGCATGTTACACTGTCCAATAAATCTCAAATCATACAATATTACCATTGACTCCTACTAATTTAATATATATTCTATTTTTTATCTGAGTGATCATCCCCTCTCTTGCGGACTAGAACCTTCAGCCCGCCGGCCATGTGAGCTGTCAGGCGCGGCACGAAAACCGGCTCAACGGACTCAACCGGTCTGATCTCAAACCGCCTGAGAATGGAAGC